TATTTGATGGTGCAAAAATTTCCGAATATATTAGATCTTGAAGAGGCAGGTACAGACACAGTTTCTCATGACCTGAGGGCATATGGTCTTGTGAATGCACAACGTGGCACTAACTTTCGTAGTAGGTCGGAAGAAGAGTGACTTCGCTTAAGGAAAGTTATACACGCATCCTCCCTCCTCTGGAGCAGACAAATTAAGTCTGATTTCTTAAGCGCGTCCTCATAGCTCAGAGACGGAAAGATAATTTTTTGTGCCCTCTTTTGTACCGATTCAGTGCGATCACTTAAGTATTGCGCGAGGCCAGCCCAAGCGGGGCTCGCATACTCTAAAACAGTTCTGATGATGCTACAATAGACCAGTATAAGCTGCCTATCAGTTAATCCGCACTTCTTAGAAGCACGTATTACATATAACCGCTTGTTCCCTTTCTTTACAATGGAAAGACATGCTCGTTCCATGTTAAGTTAAGCGATAAGTGAACCCCTAACAATTTGTAACAGGAAACCTTTTCTATCAGAGTAGAGGGGGTGGCGGAAACGGGCAATACTGCAAAAAAATAATACGCATTTCTTTGCATTTGATTGGCCTTAGGGCTTGCATCTGGTTGTAAGGGCTTGTAGCATGCGCGGTTAGCTAAAGAATGGGGTTTGTGAAGCAAAATCGATCGCGCAGCAATGCTCGTAGCAATGCCAGTCAAATTACGTTTGAATCTCAATTGAAAGATGATCTTACTCGCCTGTCCATAATTTCGTTTTCGTCGTAACGAAAGCCATACACTCGTCATCCATGTCACACTCGTACCTGGCCTCTGCGATGTTATACACTGCCAGTTCACAGGCACCAGGCAAACGCGTGTTTGAACAATGATAGTCATGTAAGGTGGGAAAGTCTGCTTTAACTATCTTCTTGTACAAGTTTAACGGCCTTGTGTACGGTTCTAAACACAAAGATTGTAAAATAACATGAAAGATAAATGAAAAAGAACTTCTAGAGGTTTTACATAACAATTGGAAAACATCAAAAAACACAGCCTAAGGTTTCCTTATCTATCTGTTTGAAGGCTAAAGAAAGACAAGACCTTCTGCTCACAACTACCGCACAATTCCTTATCAAAATACGGGTTTTGACAAGTTTTTGCTGGTTTGAGTGTTGCACATGTCAGATAGCTGGCGCATACGACAGAGCAAGGATCAAGGAGTACGAGAGGCACTGACGTCATACTTTGAGCGTGTGCAACAGAAAACTTCGCGGTAGCGTGAAGAGATGACCACTCGCTTTGTTTTTTAAACCTCGTGGAGAATTTTTACCTATGTGTTTCCCTGAGCGTAAAAGGTTTAGAACTCTTTCCAGATTCCAAACAAGTGTGTCAGTGTTCAAGGTTAGTCTCCGAAGATTCTGTTTGACTTCCTTTAAATAGTCTCGTAGCTTTTTAGGAGCTCCAGGTACAAGCACATGGCTTATAACATTCCGGCAGACATTATCTAAATTTGTAGCAGCGACGACCCCTTGACACCTTCCATTGTCACACTTTAAAGTCCTATTTTTTGCCACCCCTCTGACGACGCAATCCCTGTCTGCTGAACATCTGGGCTCTTCGTTGTCGACATCGTCAAAATCCGTCAGTTTAACTTCACCCCTGACGATAATAAACTGCGACAGCTTGAAGTCCCGGATGAAGAGCGACCCCAGAGGAGAATGGGCTAAGTAATGCAGTAACCTGGCGAGGCCAAGACAAATCTGATAAAAGACAAAACATTTTATGCGTCATGATCAGTAATAATATTGGTACTCAGGACAATGTTCAAAAGCGCATTTAAACTTAACTATGGATCAACCAATCTAATAAGTTCTTAAAAAATAGCGCGCATAGCTTAATTTTTTTCAGGTGTGATTTTCGCTATTGCATAAATGGCGCTATCTACTGCGAAGGATCGTGCATCATACGTATTTAATACCGCAGTTCAAAATATATGATCTTCAGAGCTTAATTGATATTCCTTTTTTTACGGTGTTACATGTAATTGATTCAAACGCGCGGTGCCACTCACCAAGAATGAAAGTGATTTGATCAGTATTTTTGAATATTCAAATATTTTATTTCACGGGTTATTGGGATTACATTACTTCTGGTTTACTTCGCTCCTATGGTTCCCTACGATAGGTGGTCCGGAAAATCTACGTCATCCTCTCAACCAATCAAATTCTGAGAACTAAAACCAATCGCAACTTTGTCGCAGGCGTTTTCCCGCGCTTCGAGCAATTCGCCTATTTCTAACTTTGAGTTCTCATTGACTGATGATGGTGTGTATCTGATTAGCTGTTATGATTAACACAGCCTTGGTTTTGAGACACTCAGTCAAAATGCCTCCCCTTGTATCTCCTAGGTTTTTCTTTCTTACCTATCATGTAACAAGTTGTAATGTCCTTTAAGCTGAAAGATTTTAATTAAAGGAAAGGACCCACCTAAGTATTGTTACAGATAAACCACAGGAACGGAGGAGATTTTCTTTCTTCGTTTTTTTCTCATTTGTTGCTTCATGATTACTGAAGTATCAACTATTACAAGCGGTATACACAATACCTTCAAAAAAAATCTTTCCTCACCCTAAATCGTTCCTGCCATGGTAGTTGCACCAAAGTGAGGACATCAAGTTCTGTGCCTAACTCTGTTACCATGGTAAGACCACGACTTTTGAGGTCGTCTGTGTTCAACTCATTTTGCCAACAGAAACCTAAGAGCTACAGAGAGAAAAAAAAAACTATTGGATAAACATTGAGAATATGACTAAGATTGCATGAAATATTTAAGAAATATTTAAGAAATATTTATGAAATATTTAAGAAATATTTAAGAAATATTTATGAAATATTTAAGAGAGAAGTGCGGTTAACTAAATAACATCAATACAAAACATGCTTTCTTGGTCCGGCAGCGTTACAGTCTTCTTAATGTACCTAAACATGATTTACCTATGGCAACAGAAGTGGATAGTAACGTAAGCATGTGTTCCATACATCGTGAGGTTTTTTTTTTTTCATCTTGTCATACTACCAAAACGAGATCCCCTAACTGTGCGTTTGATGCTCTTCATGATGATCTGTGATGATCTTATCATTTTGTTACGATCCTTGTGCAGAATATCCACGTAACTCTTTTGAACGAACTGGAAAATTTGAAGAAATGTAAACTTATCTATCATGTTTCTCGGGGCACAAGAAATGCAAGCACTCTGGTCGTTTTAAGGATATTTTAAGAACCGAACAGTAAATCATGAACATTAAAAAAAGAAAAAAAAAAAAACATCTTAGTATTGGGCCAATTGACACTTTTATCGTTTTATATTGATCATTCATATTTAAGTAAAATTGGATATTATTATAGTTAACAGTCCTGTCATGCAGATAGGCTACGAATTTTCCCCCTATCTTGCTTAGCTCACTAGCATCCAAGCGTGTATACTGCATAACAATAATAAAATAACGGATTTGACTCCCTTATTTATAGTTTTCCAGCCGCTTTGACATAAAAAAAGGAGTAGATGTGAGCCGAAAGTGAGTTATTTTGGATCGTTTTTTACGCTGTTAATATTTTGTATTGTAGAGGATTTTATGGAAACTATTGCTAAATAAAGAATTATTATCATTAATTACTATTATTATTGTTATGATGTCTATGTCGAGCTTAAAACTATCCTGTTTTCCTAGCAGCGAATAATCCAGGCTAAACTCTGAGTGTTGACTAGTAAAAAGCGCCTGTTTCTTTTTTTGGCGTGATTTGAATCACAATCAACTTTCACCAGGTTTATTTTAAACAATCCGATACCTCACTTCGGAAGGAAATTATATCTTAACTTGTCACGACCCGATTTTGATTTTTACACAAGACAGCTGCCTCTCTTGTCAGCTACCTTACGAATGTTACCAGAACTAATGACTAGTGTTGCTTATGCACTCATATAGTTTATCCTAATCATCTTTGGTCCAAGGGAATATTTTTTGGTCGCCTTACCCTGGCAAAGCTTGAGGAATTTTAAGTGATATATTTTAAAGCTGTTATCCTAAATAAGTATCACTTTCCTAAGCCGTTTAAGGGGACGTAGAGGTGAGGGAAGAGGTTGGCTTTGAAAATAAGTCAGCTCGAATTCACGTGATTTCCTGAGTTAAGATTTCCATCGACCTATAATTTACAAGAGTTGCATCTCATACATTCCCTTTCTTTACCTAGAATAACTATAATATCTTGTAGATATGATATGGCAGGAATAAGAACCGTAGACACGTTAACATATCTCTGTTTTCCTGATTAAATGTGCTACAATGAACGACAAAATAGAGAGAGTAGGCCAAAAATAGTGGCCATTTCCTTACACGGAAGAGAAACAGCTATGATTAGTTGTATCACTAAATTAATTAAATATTCATGCTGATCATTCTCACTTACCTTAACAATATTTGCATGTTGCAGCTGTTGCAACATAATAATTTCCTTAGCAAGCTTATATTTGGCGAAAATGAAACATTCTTCAATCGATCTAGGCGCTGATGGATTTGAAACACAGCGTTTAATATCCTCATTGTCAATCTGGACACTTTTTAGTGCGACTTCAACGCCTCTGAGAATCCCCTTTTGAACAGTTTTAGTGTAACCTCGACCAATATTCTCCCCAGCTTTGATTGATTTTACGTCGTTGCAGTCGAGCAATGATTTCCCCTCCGTTGTCAAGTTGTTGTATCTTTGCGCGTTGTGGTTTTCTTTCGATTTTATCAAGTCGGTGAAAGACTTCAGGCCTCTTCCTCGCTCCTGGTAGTGAGTCACCGGTTGTAGATACGTGAAGATAACTGCGTCTTCGGCACCTTTTGCGCTGTGCGAAGCCGGCGAAGGAAAGCGGATGAAATAATTATTTACTTCCGAAGCACGCAGCAGATGATCGCTGTTAATCTCGCGAACAGTTTCAAAGAAAACAAACAAAGAGCATAGCACTGTTAACGAGATGAAAGTCAAAACGGTTCGCGAAAGAAATCGACGCCGCAAGCGCTTCATTCCGATGAGATTCCGTCTGCACTACACAAAGTTTTCTACTAGGATTGAATTATTCATTTCTCAATCGGTCAGCCGGAAAAACACAGACGCTCTCGAAAGTGTCTCTCTTTGAGTCATTTGTGACAAATGTCAGAAATGCCACGCGATGGTAAACAAAAGCGAGGCTATCATGATGTGAAACGGAAAGCGTTCGTTTGCTAGGGGGGTTTTAACAAGGGTGTTAAAATAATAGCATGGGGTTGGCAACGGAAATCATTAGGGAAACACCAAATTAAACACG